CCCCCCCCCCCCCCCCCCCCCCCCCCGCCCTCCACTCTGCAGTGCCCCCAGCCTCCCAGTACACACCCATGCTTCCTGCCGCCTACCCGCCCCAGTCCGACAGTGTCTACCTGGTACCCACTCCCAGCAAGGCGCAGCAAGGCCTCTACCAAGCCCCAGGGCCCAGCCCCCAGTTCCAGTCACCCCCGGCCAAGCAGACGTCTATGTTCTCGAAGCCGACGCCTCATCACGCATTTCCCAGCCCGGCCACTGACCTTTACCAGGTGCTCCCAGGGCCTGGAAGTCCCGCCCAGGACATTTACCAGGTGCCACCTTCTGCCGGGATGGGGCATGACATCTACCAGGTCCCCCCATCCATGGACACCCGCAACTGGGAGGGGACAAAGCCACCAGCAAAGGTAAGGCTGCCCTGGCACAGTCAGGCAGGCCCCGGACTCAGGTCAGGTGGGAGGTGCATGTGTGGGGGATTGTTCATCTCTGCCCGTGGTGGGCGGGAATAGGCCATGCAGCTGAGAGAGCTTTCCAGAAGCTGACCTGTGTGGGAGCACCTGACTACAGAGGGTGCACCTGTCAGGCCTGAAGGGGTAGAACGGTGCCCTGTGGTCTAGGCAGACAAGGCCAGAGTGACAGGCCAGGGACAGCCCTCGAGGAGCCTAGTGCCTGTTGAAGAGCCAGATGCCAGCTTGGAAGGGAGAGCATAACACGGAAGAGGCCTGCCCAGGTCTGGGTTGCAGTAAACTCGTCCTGACCCTAGAGTGGTGGGCGGCAGAGCACAGCAGGGCCGAGAAGAGCTGGAGCACAGGGACGGGAGGCGGGGAGGCTGGCATAGCACTCGAAGGGGAGGAGCAGTCAGTTGCAAGACAGCACATCAGTCAGATTGGGGGTTGAGCAAAGCCAAATCCTTGTGAGAGGCCAGGACCAAGCCATCCTGTTGCTCTGTTGTCTTCACCGGGGCTTGTGTCTCATAGTACAGGGTTGCTGCTTGAGCTCTGGCCATCCTGTCTGCTTTTTTGGCCACCAGGAAAAGAAGGAAGGAATAGAGGAGCACATGCCTCTCTAATGACCCTTCTGGAGGTCACATGTGGCGCTTCTTACCTCCGCCGACCAGAACGTAATCTCATGTCCACCTAGCTGCAAGGAAGGCTGGGGAACGGAGCCTGTCCCCAGCAGCCACAGGGCTCACTAATACAGTCTCTGTTCTAAGGAAGCAGGGTGGAAGGCTGCTGGAGGACCGCAAGCCTCTGGCCTATAAAGGAGAGGCCATCGTCTAATGCCAGGGCACCCTCATGAGTCCTCTGGGTTTGTGTGTCAGCCCCTGCATGCGGGTCCCTGGTTCTCACTGTGGCCTATGCCATCTCCAAGGCTCCCTCTGCCTCTGCCCCCCATCCTGCTCCCCAGAACAGCTCCCCTGGCAGGATTCTGCCTGTCCGCTAAAGCTGGCCCTGCTCTGGGCCGTCCCAGACCTACAGGGTGTGCTTCTTTACTTCTGAGGCATGGGTGGGGCAGTGAGTTCCTGCTGGACCGTGGAGAGGCTGCTGCTGGAGGGACAGAGGCTCAGGTTCAAGCCCCTCGGGAGCTATCGTGACTGGGTGCAGGGCCCAGGGATAAGACCTCTGCCTCAGGTTCTGAGCCCGGCACCCTTGGCCACACGTAGGCCTGCCCACCTGCCCCACGCCACCCAGTCCTGTTGGCAGGAGGCAGGGTCCCACTGGCTGCCTGGGGGAGTCAGGAGCAACCTCTTCTCACCCTTGGGTGGCCTGTGTCTTCTGTGCCAGGGTCCCTCAAGAGCTGGGGAGTGGAGTTTCCTAGGCCTGGAAGTAGAGGAGCATCTTGTGTACTTTGAGGATAGAGGTGTCACCCCAGCTCCCTTATACCTCCATGCCTGCTCCTGCAGTGCAGCTCACCCCCAGGGCCCTGGGAAACCCAGCCCACCCGGCCCTGACAGCAGCCCTGCCCCAGCACCCAGCTCATCATCACTCCATGGCAAGACCACAGTGGGGCAGTGCCCTGGGGACAGGGTTGCTGGTGGTAGGCCCAGCACCTGCCCTTAGGAGCAGCAACCCAGGCTCACTGAGGCCCAGCCTGGGTACTCACCATGTCCTGTCCAAAGCCACTTGTGTCTGGAAAGACAGAGCCCCATGGACACTCAGCCCAGGGACAGAGCCTCTGTCCTCAGACTGGCCCAGGGCTAAGGTGGGGACCTCGCCAGTGCCAGCTGGAGCGAGTCAGCAGGCTGTGTCACCCTGCCCCTGGCCACAGGTGGCCTGACTCCCAGGAGCTCTGGCCAGAGATCACTAGCATGTGGATGGTGAGGCTCTGTGGGCCCCAGTCACCAGGAGACCTTGGGCACTGTCTGCCATGTCCTGTCCTGTGTACTTCCTCAGCCACTGGCCAGAGATGGGCTGGCAGCAGGTATGGGACAGTCCAGAGTGGGGCTGCCCCAAACCAGCTTTAGCAGACAGGCAGAGCCCTGCCAGGGAAGCTGTCCTGGGGAGTGGTGGGGGGTGAGGCATAGGGAGCCTTGGAGACGGCATAGAACATCCTTGACACATACACATGCGCACACACAGGTCACACTGCACATGCACCCCAGTCAGGAGCCCCCTCTCCCTCCCCTCCCTTCCCCTCCCCTCTGGGGTCTTTGCAGTGAAACTGGTCTCAGTGTAGCCAGGCAAGAGGAGCCTTGCAGATGGGCCGGGGCCCTGGGGCTGGGAAGCAGCAGGAGCCCTGGGGTAGGCCTGACCTGGAGACCATGTTTCAGCACTTGTTCTGCTTTCTCCCCTCCTGGGAGGGGCCCGCTCTGGCTGCTCAGGGGCTCACTGCTGGGGTCATCCTCTGCCTGGGCCCACAGGGAGCTGCCCAGACCTATGTCCTGAAGGTCCCAAAGTGCTGGGTGGCCCAGGAGGGAGAGCCTAAGTCCCAGACACAGTTGTGTCCTGAGAGGCCACGTCTCCCAGCAAGAGCCTCCGTCCCAGACCCAGTTGTGTCCTGAGAGGCCACGTCTCCCAGCTGGAGCAGCCCTCATTGTGTCTGCTTGTGTCCTGGGGTCGGGAGAGCAGTACTTGGTGGCCATAAACATGCATGCACCATGTGTGGAAAAAGCTGAGAGACGCAGCCCCTAGACACGAGGTCATAGCTGAGATCCTGGCGCGTTTGTCTCGCATTTTGGAGTCCTAAGATATCAGAAGCATCTCCCGGGGTTAGAGAACCCCCTCCCCGAGCTGGTGGTGATGGCTTCCGGGTTTTCTGTGCTGCCCTTCTGCTGGGAGTGGGCCCCAGTCAGACTCTATCCCCAGGTGGCTGCAGTCAGCGCGGTGTCTCCTCACATCCATGGGTTCGGATCCCACTTCCACCAGCCTCGGGTCCTCCCCTGAGATGTCTGGAAACCAAAACTCCTGGTTCTGGGTCAAGTCAGCTGGTGCAGAAGGAGTCCTCGGGGGGGACTGCTGGGGTCCTGGCACCCAGGAAGCCTGGGTGGGGGAGGAAGGGTCAAGCCCTGGGGCCTGAGCAGATGCTCTCTGGTACCCTGGTGGGAGCAAGTGGCCTGCGTGGGTGGGGAGGTCAGGCCCAGACCAGGGCACCATGACCCTGTGGGCCGACCCTGTGGGCCAGGGCATGAGCTTCAGGAAGCCAAGGGACCTCTGGAATGGGAGGCATCTGTGCAAGGTCGGTCTTAAGGAAGCACCCCCAAGTTAGTCGGGCCAGTGGTGGCTCTGGGTCAGGCGTGGGGACGTGTTTCCCTGGCTCAGTCCTGCCCCACCTCATTCCGCCCTCCTCACTGTGGAGCTGCAGCCCTCCCCACCCCACGTGCCCTGCTTTTGCCTGGTCACGAGGAGTGATTAGGTGAGCAGCACCTGCCCACCCCCACGGCGCTTCTGCTCCCGTGCTCCAATTCCCAGAGAAGGAAAATGAGACTCCTGGGTGGGGGGTGGGGGGCTGTGGTGCGCCAGAGTGGAGCTGGCCCAGGTCAGCAGGTCCACGAGGCAGGAGGGAGTCCAGTAGCCCAGCTGCCTGGGGCTGGTCAGGGCCCACCCTGGCCCTGCTCCCCACACTCTACACCTGCTTCCTGGCGCCCTGCCTTAGTTGCTGCAGGGCCAGGCTAGGACAGATCGGAGTTCACTGGCCCTCTCCCTGGACACCTGATCATGGGGCAGAGAGGGGCCAAGGGATGGGCAGCGCTGGCCTGACCAAGCCCTGCTCCGCGCACGTGTCCGGCACACTCTGAGCTTGTTGTTTCCTAGTCGGGCTGTTACCCTCTGCCCCCAGGGCCTCCAGGTCTGCTGACGGGACTCCAGGTGTGGGGCGTGGCTTGGGGAGGGTGATCAGCAGGTTTAGCAGCTGGGGGTGGGGGCTGCTCTGCCCCACGGCTGCTTCTGTTTGCTAACAGAGCATTCCTGGCCAGCTGGCTGCTACTGTCAGCAAGCTGGGGGTCTGGGGTCCACCCCCCAGAGCCCCCTGGGCCCACCTGCCCAGCCCCCCTGCAAGACAGTGAGATGGGCACCAGTGGGTGTGTCATGGGCCCACCCCTCCTGGCCTTGGTCCCCACCTGCCTTCAGGAGGTGGGGCCTGGAAAAGCCTCCGGCCTTGCCTCCAGGCCTGGCCAGGCTGCCACGTCCCTCTAGCTCTCGCCTGCCCCACTTTTGGCAGGTTCCAGCATCTAAAAATAGCTCTGGAGGAGACTCAAGTCTGGGGCGCCAGGAGGGAGATGAGTCTGGAGAGGCGGCCTGACTCCCACACATGCCGGGCTGGGCTGAGGGCCGGGAACACCCCTGCAGAGGCCTGGGCAGTGGCACGCACCAGCCTGCCTCTCCTGCCAGGGACAACCCAGAGGCCCAGCTGGCTTCTTGTCGCCTGCCCAGCTGTGCCGCGTGGCCGGGAGGTGTGTGGGGAGCATGGCAGGAGGCTCTGCGGGCCAAGGGGTGCGGGTGCCTGCGCTTCCTTGGGCTGTGGCGGTCCGTGCCTGCCCACGCAGCTTACGTCCCAGAGGGCACATGGACCTGGACAGGGTCTAGGGGTGTGGAGCCAAGGGACGGCCTGCCTGGGCCCTGCTGCCCCAGGATGTGTGTGGGGTGGGCCCGAGTCAGCCCTGTCCCAGACATCCCCTTTGATTAGGGAACAAAGGTCTTTCTGTGAGCTGAACAGGGAGTCCCTCTTGGAGGCGTGCCCTGAGCTGGTAGAGGAGCCTGCTAGGTCCCTCCCCAAGGACAGAGATGCCTGCCGGGAAGGAGGCTGCCGGGCACACCTCTGAGCCTCCCAGGCCAAGTGCTGGTGCGACGGGCCGACGTCCTGGGCAGGGGTCCCAGAGTGTCCTGGGATTGGCTTCCCCAGGCTCTCGCCTGCCCACCATACAGAGCTGGAGCTTTGCCGGATGCCAGGCTCGGGTAAGAGCCCAGGGAGGGGAAGGGACCTGCCACTTGGCCAGTGCCCCTGCTAGGCCTAGTCCGTCCAGGAGAAGTTGAGGCCTTGCCTGCCCCAAGGTGCTGGGTATGTCCATGTGCAGAGGGCAGCGGGGGTCGTGGTTCTAGTCACATCTCTTCCTGCCCCAAACCAGCCCCACCCACCTATCCGAGAGGGCCCTGAAATCTGGGTGTCCCTGGTGGCCCTGTCCCAGCAATCTCACAGGATAAACAGGGGTCAGGGAGGGCTCTTGGTGCTCTGCCTGCACCTTCCTCGCCAATGTGGCACTCATACCTGAATCTGTCCTCAGGGCAGGGAGGCAGCTATGGGTCCCGTGGTGGGAACAGTCCCCCACTGGACAGCTGAGTGTGATGAAGCCTCTGGGCAGTGTCACCAGGCAGGGCTCAAAAGACTTTGGGCATGACAGGACTGGCTGTCTCAGTCCAGGTAGCTCCCCAGGACCTGAGCCCTCACCCTTCCTGCCCCCTCTCATTGTCCTGCCAGCACCCTTCTGGGTCACCTTGCTGTGGAGACCTGTTTCCTGGCCTAGACCAGATTCTGCTGCAGAAGGCCTAGGGGTCTTCTTGCACCGAAGTCAGTGACACACAGGGATGAGAACTGGCTCACCCCACGGCCGACATTGTGGGGTCTCCTGGAGGCCCCATGGCTCGTCCAGGAGGCTGGCTTCGAGGACCAGCGATGACAGTTGGCTGTCTGTCCCCAGGTTGTGGTCCCCACTCGTGTGGGGCAGGGCTACATATACGACACGGCGCAGCCGGAGCAGGACGAGTACGACATCCCACGCCACCTGCTGGTCCCCGGGCCCCAGGACATCTATGATGTGCCCCCTGTTCGGGGGCTACTTCCCAGCCAGTATGGCCAGGAGGTGGGTGTTCAGGGTTGGGGTGGGAGGGCAGAGTTGGCATGCCCACAGCTCCACCTGACTCTGGCTCGAGCAGGGCTTGCTTGGTGCTTCCCGGGGACCAGGTGGCCCAGCCTCTACCTTTAGGGTCCTGGGGTGGTACTGTGGGCTGGCCACGGCACCTGTATCAGCACCTCTTCTGCCCCCAGGTCTATGACACCCCACCAATGGCTGTGAAAGGTCCCAATGGTCGAGACCCATCGCTGGACGTGTATGACGTGCCCCCCAGTGTGGAGAAGGGCCTGCCACCATCCAGCCACCACGCGGTGAGCAGTTAGCAAATGCTGGTGCCTCCAAGCTGAGGCCTCAGCCCTGCAGGTCATGGGTGTGAGGCACCCAACTCTGGGCCTCAGGTCTTCATCTTCAGGACAGCCCCTTGAAGGGCCTCGTCAGTAGGCAGGTCCTCAGAGGATTGTCCGGGGTGTAGGCAAGGGGACCCAGAATCTGTCATCCAAACCAAGTCGCCTATGAGTGAAAGGCGAACTGATGATTAGATGGGGGTGTTGGGCACAAACCAGCACTGTCCTGGACAAGCCAGGGTGTGATCACTGGATGTAATACAGACGGAGCTCAGCCCGGTCTCTGCTGCAGGGTAGAGAGCCCACAGGGGAACGGTGCTGCTGGTGATGGTGATGCTGCTGGTGGTGATGCTGCTGGTGATGATGCTGGTGCTGATGATGTTGGTGTGATGCTACTGGTGATGATGCTGGTGCTGATGATGTTGGTGCTGCTGGTGGTGCTGCTGCTGGTGGTGCTGCTGGTGCTGGTGCTGGTGCT